GGGAAGGAGTGAGAGAGAAACATCAATGATGGGGAGAATCATTGATCAGCTGCCTCCTGCACCCCCAACACTGGGGATCAAGCCCGCAACCCAGGCATGTGCCTTGACCCGGAATCAAACGGTGACCTCCTGGTTCATGGGGTGATGCTCAACCACTGAGCCATGACAGCCAGGCCATGGGAGCCATTTTAAACAGCCAAGTCACCAACAAAAGTAAGAGAAAATATGAAAAAGTGGCACTGAAAGACTGAAAAATACTTTACTGTTTGACAACTGAAACAGGAAAGCAGAGCATCGCCTTGTTTGACCTCAGCCAGGAAAACGTGTGTTGTATGATACAAACCTTTCACTGCTCTGTGCATGACCATGAATGACGGCCAGAGCAGCTAGGGTATTGATTTTGAGGTTGCAAATAAATTTAGCAAGTAGGGAAATTCACAAATACGGAATCAATGAATAAATAATGAGGATTAACCTTTTTTTAAAAAAAAATCCTCACTGAGGACATGTTTATTGATTTTAGAGAGAGAGGAAGGGAGAGAAAGAGAGACAAACATTGATCGATTGCCTGCTGTATGTGCTTCCCAACAGGGGATCGAAGTAACCCAGGCCTGTGCTGTGACCAGGAGTCAAACCTGCAATCCTTTTTGGTGTACTGTATGATGCTCTCCAGTGGTCGGCAAACTCATTAGTCAACAGAGCCAAATATCAACAGTACAACGATTGAAATTTCTTTTGAGAGCCAAATTTTTTAAACTTAAACTATATAGGTAGGTACATTGTTATTAACTTAATTAGGGTACTCCTAAGGCTTAGGAAGAGCCACACTCAAGGGGCCAAAGAGCCGCATGTGGCTCTCAAGCCGCAGTTTGCCGACCACGGCTCTTTCCAACTGAGCCAGGATGAGGATTGACTGTATTTTAACACCCTTAGTATTGAAATGGCCATATTTACTAAGGTAGCCTCTTGTTTATTAGTATAAGACAGCCTCTTGTTTATTAGATCCCTGCAGTCTAGTGCAGAATACAATCTAGAATTTTTACCTGATATAATAAATGCTACTAATGAAATAACTATAGGATACTGAAAAAAGGGGGCTCCTTCTCATCTAATCTAGGTGTTGTCCAACTGAAATATAATTCAAGCCACGTGTAATTTTGAGATTTATTGTAATCACATTAAAAACCACCATAAAATTAATTTCAATAATATATTTTCTTTAATTCAGTACATCCAAAATAGTAGTTCACATGTAACCAGTACATAAGATAATTTTACATTTTAAAATACTAAGTTTTAAAGTGTGGTGTAGAGTACATCTCAATTCAGATTAGCCACATTTTAAGTGCTCAATAGCTGTGTTTTAGTGGTGGCTATCATATTGAATATTACAGGTCTAAAAGATTTCAAGACTTCTCTGGCAGTGATATCTTAACTTGACATCTAAAAAACGAATAGAAGTTAGCAATAAAGATGGGTTTGGAAAAGGCATTTTTTGGCAAAAGGATTGGGGGTACAAAGACCTATAGGTGACAGAAATATGGCATCATCCTGGATCACAAAATGTTTAATGTGACTGGTACATATTGTAAAAACAGATGGGTGAATTTGGATTTTTTCCCAAGGGCAATACACATTGAAACAGTACATAGAAGAAAATGACAATGACATCTTTTAAATTTAGAAAGCCCATTCCAGTTATGATACAGATGATTTTTTTTTAGGAAGGAAAAATATTGGAAATGGGAGACCAATTAGGAAGAAATAGTTAATGTTGGTGAACAAAGGTGGCAATTATGAGCACACAGAGAAGACATATTCAAGAGAATTAAAAGGAAAGATAGGATGTCATAATTTAATATTGGGGGTCAAATGGGATGGGAGACACTGGGTATGAAGAAGAGGAAAGCATCAAATTAAAAACTGGGAGGATGTTGGTACCATTGATTGAAATATAAGAGAAAAGGCAAGTTTCTAGGGCAAACTGAGTTCATTTTTGGTCATTTTTGAGTTTAAGCTTTCTGTGGGAAAGAGGTATATCTTTTTTTAAAAAAAAATATATTTTATTGATGTTGTACAGAGAGGAAGGAAGAGGGATAGAGAGCTAGAAACATCGATGAGAGAGAAACATCGATCAGCTGCCTCCTGCACGCCCCCCAGTGGGGATGTGCCCGCAACCAAGGTACATGCCCTTGACCGGAATCGAACCCGGGACCCTTGAGTCCGCAGGCCGACGCTCTATCCACTGAGCCAAACCGGTTCGGCGGGAAAGAGGTATATCTTAAATAGATATTTGTGAATCATCAGCAAATAGATGATTGTTAAAGCTAAAGCAAGAGACTCTCTTCAGCTTTAAGGATGCACAGAGACGGAAAGTAACAGGATGGAAAAAGATAATACATGCAAATGGAAACCAAAAGAAAGCTAAGGTAGTTAGTTATACTTATATCAGCCAAAATAGACTTCAAGACAGAATGTAATAAGAAACAAAGAAGGTCATATAATGATATTGGGGTCAATACAATAAGAGAATATAACATTTGTAAATGTTTATGCACCCAACATAGAAGCACCTAAATATATAAAGCAGATCTCAATTGATACCACAGAACTACAAAGAATCAGAAGGTAATCTATGAACAATTATATACCAAACAATTGGACAACCTAGAA